CACATTTCCTGGGTATTTTGTGTTAGGGATTTGTTGGAGTTAAGATTTTTCTTTGGCCCATGAATCTATTTTCTCTAGTAAATCTTCATCACCTGAGATTCTATCTTCCATCTCTTATATTCTGTTGGTTATTCTTGCAACTGTAGTTCCTGATCATTTATTCATATTTTCTATTTCCAGCATTCCCTCAGTTTGTGTTTTCTTTATTGCCTCTATATCAGTTTTCAAGTCTTGATCATTTTGAATTGTTTCTTTCACCTGCTGGTTTGTTTTTTCTTGGCTTTCTTTGTTTTCTTTAAGATATTTGTTTATTTCTTGCATTTTTGGGTTTGTCATTTCCTCCATTTCTTCGATATTTTTGTCTGTTTTTCTTCCATTTCTTTCAGGAATTTTCTCATTTCCTTTTTAAGGGCCTCTATCATCTTTATAAAGTTTTTTTAAAGATCATTTTCTTTTTCTTCATTTGTGTTGGAATGTTCAGATCTTGCTGGTGTAGAACTCCTAGATTTGATGCTCAGAGCCTCCTAAGGACTGGGAACTGCATGCTGGAAGACCATCACAGCAAAATGGCACATCCAGAGTCTGCCAGTGACCTGGTCCCACCTCCATCCACAGTAGGAGGTAAGCTTGGGCCTGTTTCCGACATACATTCCAGGTTCCTGATCAGAGCCTCCTGACAACTATGAACTGCACAACAACAGAGAGTCCATCGCAGCAGACAGGCCTCTCCAGCATCTGCAAGTGTCCTGGTCCCAACTTCACCCAAGAGAAGAGCCTGCCTGGTGGTGCCCAGGTGAGCCTCTTGAGTACTGACTGTATTCCAGGGAGCCAAGCCCGCCCTGGTGAATCAGCGCATACAGAGTCTGCTTGGTTCCACCTCCACCCATGGGAGGAGTCCCACCACCGCCTACTGGAAAAAGAGAGCCATTGTTGAATTGGGTCTGCTTGCACCCACTGGAAGAGAACCTTGGTCCTATACCTACCAGGAGAGGGGGAGACCCTTCTGGTATGCACTAGAAGAAGGGATGGGTAGATGACAGTGTAAGAACACAGTCAACAACAGAAAGATCCATATGATGCTACCAAAGTCTAGGGACTGCACACCAGCAAGAACTGAACTTCTTAACACTGATGAAGCAGAAGAGAATGAGAAAATCCCTTAAGGATTCATTTCTTTCATTAGAAAAAAAAACAAACAAAAATTCAAGAAATGGAGAAAAAGACAAACCAAAAATTTGATGAAAAATGGCAAGAAACAATTCAAAAATTCAAACACTGCAATGCTTGAAAGCTGAAACAGAGACAAAAAAAAAGTCTGAGGGAATACTGAAAATAGAAAAGTTAGGCAAATTATCAGGAACTACAGATGCAATCATAACTAACTGAATACAAGAGATGGAAAACAAAATCTTAGGCACTGAAGATACACTAGGAGAAATAGATTCATTGACCAAAGAAAATCTTAACTCCAATAATCCATGACAAAATAAATATCTAGGAAGTAAGGGGCACTGTGAAAAGACCAAACCTAAGAATAATAGGTATAGAAGAAAGTGATGAAACCCAACTCAAAGGTGCAGAAAATATATTCAACAAAATCATAGAAGAAAACTTTTAAACCTAGAGCAAAGAATCAACAGCCTATAATTCACACCACCAGAGGAACTAGGATACAAGGTGTATTCTAAGAGATTCATGTAAAGTCCCTCACAGAACCGGGAAGGGGCAAGTTCCCCAGAGCACAGGGGAAGGGGGGGCACAGAATGGAGAGAGAAGTAGGAGAAAGTGAAGGGGAGGAGAGGAAAACACTTGCAACTAGGAAGATTGAGTCCAGTTAAGAATAGAAGACTGGAGAGAGAGAGAGAGAGAGAAAGAGAGAGAGAGAGAGAACATAAAAAGAGGGAGCCAATATTGGTTTGAAGATAAAATTGAAAACAAAGAAAGGTCTAGAGAACTACAAGACTGCCGCCAACTAACAATTTAAGCATCTATGGAAAGGCTACCATAAATGCCCTTCCTGGATAGTGAGATCAACAACTAAATTATCCATGGAGCCCTCATCTAATACCTGTTGGAAACAGGAGCAAACACCCATGCCTAAACACTGAGTCGAACTAGAACCCAGATGCAGATGGAGAGGGCAAGACCAGTTGGCAGAAATACATAGAGACAGCTTACCTGAACAAGGAGGAGCTAACGGGCCCCCGGACTGATGGCTGGGAATCCAGCATGGGACTGACTCAGGACCCCCTGAATATGGGTCTCAGCCAGAAGGACTGAGTAGTATAAGGGACCTCAGACAGTGGAGCCAGGATGTATCCCTGGTGCACAAAAGAACCTTGGGAACACATCCCCCATGGAGGGATAACTGCCTTATCCTAGAGACAGGAGAGAAGCCCTAGTCCCTACTTCACATGACCTGTCAGATCTACATGACCCCAACTGAATGGCATTCCCCTACATATGGAATTGGGGTGGAGGGATGGGAGGGGAGGGTGGTTAAGTTGCATGTGAGAGGGCAGAGAGGGTAAAAGGGAGGGAGGGAGGGAGGGAGAGGGAACTGGGATTGACATGTAAAATAATAAATTAAATTAAAAAAAATGCTTTGACTTCAAAATTTAAGTTCAATGACTAGTTACTGGGGAAAAGGATTTCTATTTTTGTTTCCACGGAAAATGAAAAGCTATGGATATCTTCCAGACTAATGTGGTTTGATCAAGCCAGACCACCTGAAACAGAGTACCAGGTGATCCTACATTCAAAACAGCTGGACAAAGCAGCCTTACAGACTACAGCCAGGATTTCTGCATCTTCTTAGAATCCCCCATGACAGCGCTCCTTACCAGCAGGAAGTAGTTTGGATAGAAGGAGGCCCAAATTCCCAACTATTGTCTATAAATGTTTGTTTTAATTTAAATGGACTTGGTTATATAAAATAAATAAATAAATAAATGGACATTGACATCAAGCTCTGGTGAGAGATTTCAGTGATGTAGCTGTTTTGAGGTCACCCATATGTAACCTTAAGTAACACTTTACAAACTCCTTTAAGCAAGAACACTACTCACTGGATCACCTAGTTGGACTTTGATGGAACTATACAATGGTCTGAAACTGGTTCTGCAGGAACCAGTATGGGCCTAGGACACCCCAAGACCAAGTTCTATGCACAGGAAGATTTACTTGCCGATATGGACAAATAGCAGAAAATAAGAGACAAAGGCAGGAGGTAGAGGACAAGAGAGAAGGAGAAGAAACCAAGGAAGAGAGCATAGGGGCATTTGTCCCCACAGCTGTTGGAACAAGGAGACAAATAACTGCCTCTGGATAAAGAGGAGACAGAGGGCATCACAGGCAATGGCATGTTGTACAAATAAGGAGGAAAATCTCATGTTATGATGGGGTATTGAATCTTAATTTGGAAAGTCTATTACATGTGTCAAAGCATGATTTTAAGTACTTTGAAATCTGGACCTTGGTGGTCACCGTCATGAGGAGGGAGTAGCCAAATGAGGGAATAGACATTGGTGGATAATTTTAGGATGGTAATCTGAAAGATTTTATTAAGGAAGAGAAAGATGAGGAGAATGATTAAAGCCTGCCAGGTCCCTGTTTACCATGTTCCAGGTAAATAGAGTAGAATTTGTTTGTATCTGGATGAGAAGCATTCACACAAAACACATCAGAGGCTCAAGAACAACTTATTTCATTTGACTCCAGACACCCTAAGATGGAGATCTGGAGGGGACAACACAATTGTAGAAGGAGATTTGTCATGTTGGCAGCTCCCAGGATCTCCATGAGCAGGTTCCATCTCAAAGGCTGGCCTGTGGACATGTTCAGCTTGAGGTGTACTAAGGTCATCTGACATCCTCTTCCTTTCTCCAGGGAACACAACATCTATGATTGACAATCACTGCCTGGCCCTGCACAAAGGACAGGGCCAGATACACCGAATTTTCTCAGCACATATATCAACTTATAACAGCCTGTCTGTCAGGAGTCAACCCACAGATCTACTACAAGCTCATTTGAGTGTTTTTTAACACCTCCCGATACAATGGGGGTTTGGGAAGATGGTCTGAGGATCTGATTGCATTTGGTATGTGAATAGCATCAGAAGAACAGATTATTACTATATTTGAAAGGAGTGAACGCTTATTTGTGGATGTTTAATGGAGATGTAGAATACATTTTTGCCCTCTGTCTCTCAGAATTTGACCTCTGGTTTGGGATTTTAGTGTTCTGATCTCTGGGCCTCTTTGTCCCTGTAAAAGGTAACTTCAAGCAAGCTAACATGCTGATGGTAAATATCTCAGTAGCAAGCTCTTTCTTCCGCACACTGAGAGACCACATGCACAGATCCACAGCCACAGTCTACTCACACAAGGGCCAGAATCAATTACCAGGGCCAGAACCTTACAAAGCTACTGAGAACTTAGGTTCTTGTTATGGCCCATATTAGCCACATATACCTGCATCACTGAAAGGCGTATCATACTCTTCAACATTCACTATTTAACAAAAAGGCTCCTGCCCATACCTCTAGGGAACTTCCCACTCCTGAGCTCTGTGACTCTGTTTACCATGGCATGCTTTCTGCATAAAAGCCTGTCAACATGAAGTCTTTCTTACTAAGGTCAAGGCTAAGCTCCAGCTTACACCTGAATTTCAGAGAACTGGTGAGCAAATAATCATTCATAACACATAGTGCCAGGAGCCATTATCACATTTATTGAAAGCCAATGACTGAAGATTTGTGGCTGTGTGGGAGAAGCCCTATATCTCTTGGCACTTGGATTTCTTCCTGCTGTGGCATAGAGAAGAAACTCCCAACATCAGGTTAGTGTGTAGACTCTGCGCTAAGATTCTTTACCCAGTTCACAGGAATCTATTGCAAACACAGAAGGATGGGAAATGAGGCATGTTGACACAGTCTCTATCATAAAGGGAAGTCATAAATAGAATTGAAGGAGAATCAGCAAAAGCTTTCTTATTACCATCGTAAGGGGGATTGATGATGCTTGTATTGTTCAGTGATAGTTGGCTCACAAGGGTTTCAAAATCCACCAGCATTGTTGGGTTTGCAGTATGATTTTGGCGACCTGCTGGGCAGATGAGGATGGTGAGAAATGCTGGGAAGAACTCTCACTACAGACACATCACACACAAGTCCCTTGGGAGATCTTCTGGGACACAAGCAGATTCAAGCTACAGAGAGTGTGTTTGCACACCAAACTCTACAAGAAGGACACCAGCCACATGTTGAGGGTATAAGAGCAGGAGAAAGAAAGAAGGATACACAGGAATATTATAGAAGAACAGGAGAGATAGACCAGTGGGAGCACATGAGGAGAAGGATCTTGAGAACATAGTGTTAGGTGATGCTGGCAGTGTTGTGGAAAGTTGGAATCTTCAAATATCAGGAAGAGAACAAGGTCTCAGGGTTTGTTGATGGTGGTAGGTACATTTCACATATCCAGGTAGCACTGGATACTTTGGAGCAATGTATACTCTTGGATACAACACTGTCAAGCATGTCTACAGTGGTTCTTCTGTAAGAGACAGCCTTTGACATTGGAGCAGGAGAGCTTCCTAAACAGCACATGACTGTTCTGTCTGTCAGCTAAATCTATGTTCAGTTTCTGGGTCCTTTTTAGTGTGGAGTGTGTGTGTGTGTGTGTGTGTGTGTGTGTGTGTGTATTTGTCTGTATGTGTGTCTGTATGTGTCTGTGTATATATGTGTGTACCAGTACATGCTCTTGCACTGTTCAGAGGATGATAGTATGTCTTTCCACATAACCGTCTTCTGATAGAATCTCTAAATAAATGTGAAACCCCTCTTTATTCCTCTGCTATCTGAAGTTAAGAAATATTCTTGGTAGCAGGTATGCTTAACTGTGGCCACCATTGTATGACAGTTTTGGGTGTTAAAAGTCAGGCCCCAGCACTTTCATGGGACCTATTTCTAGCGACAAAGCTAACTCCCCATCCTTTCTAGTCCTTTCTATAAGCTTTAACTTTCTGAATCAAAGACAGAGAAGTTACAAGATTTGTTTTCCACAGCAGTGAATGAAGCTAAAAACTGAATCTCTCTTATCTGTCCATTCCTTTCATTTTAAATTGCTGGTGAGCACTGGACATCAGGACCTCAGAATTATCAGCCCAAAGTGAAGCATCTTATGAACAACTGTGTTGAATAGGGCTATAGCCAAATGGCATTGGACACTCATACCATCATACACCTAAACTGATGAATCACTGGTCTTCATGTAACAATCAATATAACCAGTGACAAATGACCCATCTATATCCATGCTCAGAGTAGAACAGACTGCACAAGGGCTGATTTAGAGGGAAGGATGTGATGATGGGTTGATGGGGTTTGGATGTGGATCATAGATATTAGAAGTTCTCATCATAAGATGGGGGATGAAAGAGATAACAAGTACTGATCAGAACTTGCCAGAAATCACAGCAATGCCACCTAGGCCAGAACTAGAGCTAGAGGGAAAGGATGCAGACAACAACTGTGTACCCAGTGACCCAGGAAAACAGGCCTAAACTCACATACTCAGGCATGGCAGAACGTACCCATGAACATTACCATCTTCTGCTCCACATTGTTGACTTTGGCATTTAAATAGGCATAACCGAAGTTGTCACCTCTAAGGAGCACTATGCCAACATAGTGCCACATCCCTGCAGACAGAGAACAAGCTCTGTGACTATAAGCATTTCTGCAATGGAGTCTAAAATTGGAAAATGTAAATGTAAGCACCTACAGACAGAGAAGTAGCAAGGTTTGTTTTTTTCTTCATTCAAGGCCATCTTGAACTCAACACATCCAATGGGTTTCCTGGACACAGGGAAGAAGCATGGTTCTCTCCTTCACACCTGCCCCATCCTTCCTCCTCCCATGCACAATGCACAACACTAAGGAGAGCTCAGCAACCCCCACATACAATACATACAGCAACCAGCCACAACCCAAGGCTGCCTTACTGTGTTTCCATCTTCTGTGTCCCATGTCACACTTCTATGGAAAACACAGACACCTATAGGGGCAGAGCCAATGACCAACACATACTTGGAGTTCAGGAGAGTTTCCAAGCAACTCACCCCAAACCATGAGGAGGCCAGACTTTGCTCTTGGTCTCAAAATGTTTCTCCAAGGGCTTCTCCCAGATGACATGATCATAACTGTACCCATGATCCTTCAGGATCCTCATTGACCTCAGAATCAACTGAAAACATGAAGGGCAATAGACTCCCTCCCTACCCAGAAACAAGTGTTGTCCACAAAGGTTTCTCCAAGAGGCAGAAACATTGTGCTTGAAAGTTCCTGTACAGTATGCAACAGTACAGAATGCATCAGGTTGGCCCCTGGGTCTCCTGTGCTAAGCTAAGTGTTCCTGGAAACATTTTCCTGCAGCTAAAGATGTCGCCTGACACATTGCCCAACCAAGACAAGGGGATTCCATGTTCACATAAACTGTCCAGATGAAGTTGAGAGCATGTGTGTGGAGAGGGTGAGGAGACCATACAGACATGATCCAATGTGACAGCCTGATAGCAGATACTCACGAGATGTTCATCCTAAACTCCAAGTACCCGATTCTGTTTTTTGACAATGTGAAGGGTGGCAGCGGGCTTCTCAGCTTTTCTTCTGGAAGAGGAAGGTTTCCAGCCCAGCGAATTATGTACCAGTTTCCTAAAAGCTAGATGGGGAGAGTCACTGCTGAGAAGGTCATAAGGGAAAGGAAGAGCCAGGGAAAGTTGTTGCATGGGAGCAGCTGTAGGATGTATATGGGAAGCATTTCAGAGCAGACTGTAGGGTCAGGGGCCCTTGATCATGGCCAGCCCCTATGTAAAACTGGCAGGCTGTTCCAAGCAAGGTAAGGCAGGGATATTCCTGGAGATGCTGTTCCTGGTAATGGACAGAGCCATGGCCCTGCATAGATCAATTAGAAGGAATAGAAAAGACACTGATGAAATAAGGCTAGGGTGGTGTGGACCGAGATCAGAAATGATTGGTCATGTGTGGACAATACCACCACAAATCCACTGAGTATTTGGTCACTGATGACCAAAAGCACACAACCTGGTTGTGCCTCACTTCTTGGGTCCAGTTACTGCATCATCCCACTATCGGGGACTGTTCTGTAATGATTGGAGTCATCCCTGTTCTAGAAAAGACTTATTCTTAGTTAGCATTATCTCTGGACAACGGAAATGCTGATGTGTCATAAAAGTAAAGTTAATATAAAGTGCTTGGGATCCTTGACTGACAGCTGCAAGCTGTGATTTTCTGACTGGCAGAATGGCCTTGCTTCTGACTGTTGGTATCACCCACCTGACAAAAAACATGAAGACTCCATGTTGGAAAGCAAATCCTAGCTCAAATCCTATGCTAACCCAACAAAAATTTATCAATAATCCCAGACTCTCACCCAGTCAAGCATCATGATCCTGAAAATATAGTTCCCAACTTCAAACCTCCCAGAGAACTTACCTTATCTGTTGTTGCACATTCACCTTGATTGATGTAGCCAGCCTGCACCACAGGGAGCAGGGTGAGGCCTAGGGTCAGGAGGAACAGCTGCATCACTGCCATGGCGCCTCTGTCTACCTGGACTCTGAAAAGCACATTCATCTATACCTGGAGGCTGACACACCCATCTGACCTGCACAAAGGCTCCGTGTGTGATGTGTTCTGATTGAACTGTTTTCTTTGGACCTTTATTGTGGCATAGAAATGAGGATAATGAGAGATGGGGACTGCTATGGACTTAAGTCAGTTCCCTGAATGAAAACCTCTTCCAAAGTCTGGAAAGAGGGAGCAGCTCTGAGAAGAGGCTCATGCAGGAGACACATGACTGTGTCTTCACACATTCATAGAGAGCCTGACAGGGGAGGAGGGATGTTGTCAGAGTCAAGTTCTGCCAGAGTATTCAGGCACAGAGAGAACCAGGGTTCCTGTGTTCCCATCCTGTCATGGACAGGCCCTATTCCCAACTGAATGGAAGCAGCCATACCTCCCCAACTCTCTCAGAACACCCAGATGCAATCACAAACACCATTCCTTCTCTACATAGCATGATGGACACATACCTGTGTTCTACAGGCACATTCCCTGAGAACTGATCTGTGCCCTCTCCCTTCTGCTTCCTGGTTCCCATGCCCTGTTTCTGCTCTGTATTAAAATCATGAAGAACCTGTAGAACTCTCTCTTGTGATCAAGAACATCAATGTTGATCCACAATCACCTAGCAGTTTGGCCCCACAATCACCCCAAATCCAATTCAGCTTTTCTTAGATCAACCACCTTTCCTCTCTTCACACTCAAAGAGAAAATGGTGGTCAGGCCATGTACTGAAGCCCCTCATACATCCCCAGTATTCACTTCTCCCTTATCTTTTGTACCACAGAGGAAATTCATTGCCCTGATCTGTGGACAAGTGAATCATTGTCTCAGCATGTGACACCTGTCCTTGGCTGTTGTCTTGAATATATTTGGAATGAACTACAGTCCAGAAATATAGATTACACTTGTGATACAGATTTGAGTCTGGAAGACATGGGCTTTTTCTCTGTACCTTGAGGCAGGATGACACATGCCTTTATCGGAACTTGAGGCAGGAAGGCATAAGTTTAATCTGGACCACACTCTTTGGCAGAAGCCTGTTCAAGGACAATGAAAGGAGGAAGGCTTGTTTGACTGCTTGCCCTTGCCTTGTCAGTACATTCATATCTTTACTGGCATTGGAGCCCACTTGTTTGGGATTCCAGCACATGCAGAAGACTGGCTGAATCACTCAGCCTCATGGAACCGAGAAACTACTAGATTCTTGGACTTTCTACTCATGGGGAGCCATTGTTGGTTGGACTGCAGCCTATGAGTCATCATAATATGTTCATATATGATATGTATATAGATAAATATATTAGATAGAAAGATATTCACTCCATATGTACAGTGACTGTAGAGAACCATGAATAATGCAATGTGTATGTTTGCATTTGCATGTGACTTTAGGAAGCTTTATGTTAGAGTATACTAGACTATATCAACCTGTGCAGACAAGTATATGCCTATCTCTCCATTTCAGTGCCTGTGTCAATGAGTGTGTACAATGTGCCTAGATATGTCTCTGTGCCTATATGTCAACAGATCAGTGTATGTTTGGTCATAACTGTACCAGCATCATGTTTGTGTATGCCTGTGAATAATGCTGTATTAGTGTGCATTTTGGCACATGTATGTACATGAGATTATGTATGTACATCCATCTCTTTTTCTGTGTATGCATAAGTATTTGTGCTTATTCATATGAGACAGTATGGGTGCAAATCTATGTGTGTCTGTGCATAAATCTCAATATTTATATCTCTGTTTGTGTTACCTGGGTTTTCCCACAGTCTCTTTTATATGAACACCTTAGCAGTAGAGGGAGACACATTTCTGGGAAGTGTGAACCTTTTGAAGTGAACTCTCAGGAAAAGACATGGGATTTTGGTAAAATCAAATCTGTGTCTTAAAAAGTTTTTGATCCCTCAGAATGCAGCCAACTACAAGACCATGTCAGGTTCATGGTTCAACTATTTCAGGCACTATGTCTTCCTGCTACCATGATGGATAGTAGTTGCTGTACCATAAGGCAGAATAACTCCTTCCCCCATTGTGTTCTTTCTGTTGTACATTTTGCAAAGTGGCCAAAAGGGGAAATAACACTTGAATTTGATACAAAAATGAGGCCATTACTTGAGAATCCAAATCAGGAAAGATTTAGTGACATGGGCTAGAAGAGCAAACAAGCTTTTGTCAGGGTATGGCTGCTGAGTAGGGTTTGCCCATGATTAATTGATTGGCCTTAAAAATATGCAAATATTCACAGCAATTTCTATACTCTGGGTTTAGAGAGGAGAAAAACAAAGGAATGGAAGAAAGGGCAGGAAAGGGCAAGGAAAGGAAGGACAAGGAGGATAAATTGTGAAATAATCATGAAGTTTGGAGGAGGACGTTGCGTAGGACTCCACGGGCCACTGGATATAAGAAGGCGGGGCTGTTAGAAATAAATCCATTATGTTCACATATGAAATTGCCAAGAAAAAGCACTAAAAAAGGAAAATAAAGTTTAGAGCACAAGCTAAAGAGCTAGAAAAGGAAAGAAGAAGGAAAATAGGCAAGCAAAATATAACACAACTAAAACAAACAAACAAACAATATGAAGAAAATTAGCTAAACTAATTTCAAAAATGAAGAGAAAGACAAAGTAATATAATAAAGATAATAATAAAATATTACATGACACACTGATTAAATTCAAAGGATCATTAAAGCAAGCCTCAAATATATATTCCAGTAATTTGAGAAATGTAAAAGAAATAGATACTTCTTAGACAGCTATGACTTAACATAATTCAACAAAAGTATGCAAACAACCCAAAGGGTTCTATACAAAAATGATATTGAAACAGTAAGAAAGCCTCTCCAAAAATTAATGTTGACAGCAGAATGGATTCACTGTAAAATGTACCAGCCCTTAAAGACAACAGACACTAATGGGCCTTTAAATTACTATATAGGACAGAAAGAGGAGTGGTACCAGAACTTTCAAACACCTGCAAGTACTCTAATACTAGAACACACACACAAAAAGGATAGGCAAATCCTGCTGATGAACATGGAGGCCATTCTCAATAAAATACTGGCAAAGGAAATTTAGCAATATATCAAAAAAGATCATTTCTTATGATCAAGTTGATTTCATTCCTGGGATACATGGATAGTTCAACATATGCAAATAAAGAATGAAATACAGTAAATAAATGGACTCAGCCACAGAACTGGCATGGTAAAGTCTGAATCAGAAAAGCATGTTGACAAAGTCAGCCACCCCTTTCTGATACCTGCCCAGAAGAAAATAGAAACAGAAGGAACAAATCCACATAATGATATCTCTGCTCAAAACTGCATTCAACATTATCCTACATGAAGAAAAATATTATTACTAAATCTAGCAGAAACAAGAGTGTCCACATTCTTCAACAAACACTTTGAATATTGCTAGTAAACACAGCAAAAAAAGTTAAAGGGATATGAATGAAAGGGACAAGTTAAATACCAGAATTTTCTGATGATATTATCCTCTACAAAAGAGATTTGGAGACTCCTCAAGGAAATACTAGGAACTAGTAAACACTTTCACAAAAGTGTCGGGTGACAAAATTAAGGTTAAAAAAAGTACATTTTCTGTGTCCTGAATCATTGTTTACAGCAATGAACACGTGGATAACATAACCAGGAAAACAATCCCATTCTCAATTATTTAAAAAAAAAAAAACAAATTTGGTGTCATAGAATTAACCTAACAAAAAAGTAAAAGAATTCTGAAACAAAAATTTGTTATTAAAAAATTAAATTGAATGAGACAATGGAAGACAAAAACACCTCTCATGCTCACAGATGAGCAGCATTAATACTGTGAAAGTTTTTTTTATAAAACACAATGTACAAATTCAACATACTCCATAACAAAATGCCAATATCATTACTCACTGAAGGAGAACATGATCCTAAAATTTATTAGGAAGCACAAAAACACAAAATATCCAAAGCAATCCTGATTAAAAGGAATGTTATCAGAGGTATTATCACTCTAGATTCCAAGTTATAATACAATAAGCAAAGCATTGTGATACTGTCAGCAAATAGAAATGTAGAACAAAGAGAAAGAATAGAAGACAAAGGAATGGTCATATGACTTATGGCTGCCTAATTCTTAACAATTTTCTCAAAAAACTCACTGGGTTAAAGAAAGCCACTTCCTACTAATGGAAACCCAAAGGTCAGTCCAAATAATAGAGCTGGGTCACCAACCAACCATGTCAAAAATCAATGCAAAAGTGACCAAAGATCGTAATATAGAACCTGAAACTCTGAAACAGTCACAAACTCTGAAACAGATCATACTGATTTTATTTTTTTATAATTTATTGTTTTATTTTTATTTTACTTATCGATTCCAGTTCCCTCTCACCCCTGCCTGCCTCCCTCTTTCCCTCTCTCCCACCCTATCATGCCACCGAACACCCTCCCTTCCCATCGCCCCCCCCCCACTCCACATGTAGGGTGATGCCCTTCAGGATGGGTCATCTGTCAAATAGTTTAGAGTAGGGACTAGTACTTCTCTCCTGTGTCTGGGTAAAGGGAGTAACCCTCCATGGGCACTGAAACCATCTAACCCTGGGTTTTTTTGTTTGGAAGGCTTTTGATGACTCCGTTGTCTTCATATGGGCACTTAGTGCAATGAACTGTCCTCGTAGCACTGCTTTTAAGGTGTCCCATAAGTCTTCATTCTCATTGAATCTTAGAAAGTCCTTAATTTCTTTCTTTATTTCTTCTTTGACCCAGGTGAAAGATCCAGCAGGCAGGGACTCAGGATAGTCCCGAGGGGATAGCTGGATCTCTGGGAGGGGCCCAGCAGAGGACCAGCGGTGGGGTTCAGAGATCAAGCAGGCAGGAATTCCAGGTGGTCCTGCATGGATAGGCAGGTCTAGTGTGCTCAGAACAGCTCCAGGAATTTCCCCGAAGGTTGCAGAATTGTTGTATCC